TGATTACTTAATTTTGATTAGTTGCTGTCTGTTTACAATACATGAAGTTCATCTTGATTTTCTTTTTTGGCAGCTTGATTCAGCAAACACAAAAATTCCTTATGGAGACAAAAGACCCCTCTGATGCAAGAAATGTATGTGAGGGAATTATGTATTTACTCCAATCTGTTGAAGCTTGCAAAATATAACCTTGGTTAATGCAGAAATGTTTAAAATGAAGACCGATCTAGATTCTTAAACAGCACCTAAAGTCTAATGCTAAACAAGTAAACTAAACAACTGGAAGCACTTTTATTACCTATATGTCAAAAGCTTTGTGATGCCTGTTGGTTGATTCCCTTTTCCCTAAGATCATACTTTCTCCAAAGAAGCTTCATTCTTGGCTTAAGTAATATGGATCCAACTCCAGATTAGAGGCTTATGTTAGTTTGGCGGTATCACATACTAGTGTGCAATTGCTATTACACCTTTCCTGTGCATATTTAAGTAATCTAAAACAACCATACCAATTAAACTCTAATGATTAAAGTGGCCTCTCCAGAAAAATATGCAGCATCATATTTTCTTTGAAGTGCCATGATTTTTGCTATCATTTGTTGTTGCCTTCTATGACCAAATTCTTATTCTTCAAATGTGTGTTTTTCTCTTTTCAGATGGGATTCGAATTTGCAGGGAAAGCTGTATATACTGCAGTGTGGGTTGCAGCTGTTTCATTGTTCATGGAACTGCTTGGTTTTTCTACACAGAAGTGGTTGACAGCTGGGGGTCTTGGGACAGTATTGCTTACTCTTGCTGGTCGTGAGGTAATCTGACCATTTGTTTCACATTGCTAAGTGTCGGCGAAATGAGGTTTTATACCTTTTCTCTATTTCATTTGGGATGTTCTCCCAATTGGTTGGTTTAATATTACTTCTGCTTTTCATGTTTCCTTCTTTTTTTTTTTCTCGTCTGGGTAGAGGGCTTGTGTGCCCACTTGGATTAGTGCAACTTATATTTTTTACTTCCTTGGTGCTTGTTCAGATACTTACGAACTTCCTCTCAAGCATAATGATCCATGCAACAAGGCCCTTTGTTCTAAATGACTGGATACAGACAAAGATACAGGGCTATGACGTCTCTGGTACAGTGGAGGTAAATCTTAAGCTCCTGCCGCCAATTAGATAATAAAGGAATATACTTTAAATAATGCAATAACAAGAAGTATTGCATGCTTGATATGCAAGGATTTGCATGAAGATGTGGTTGGATAACAACTTCATCCATTTGTGCTGAATCAGTTGAACAGAAAGCTAAATCGTGGTATTGAGCCGTTGTATGACTTCTTTCTTGTTGTTTAGCACGTAGGTTGGTGGTCACCAACAGTCATAAGAGGTGATGACCGTGAAGCCATTCATATACCAAATCACAAATTTTCAGTGAATATCGTCAGGAATCTTAGCCAGAAGACTCATTGGAGGATCAAGACTCACCTTGCCATCAGCCACTTGGATGTGAATAAGATCAATGTCGGTAAATTCAATTTTCTAGTTAGTTAACATTTTTTTTTTATTTCTGAAAAACAATTTTTGTTGGCTGATGAGTATTCACACGCCTCTTTCGCGTGTAGAACATTGTTGCGGATATGCGGAAGGTTTTGGCGAAAAATCCTCAAATAGAACAGCAACGATTGCATAGGCGAGTTTTTCTGGATAATGTTGATCCAGAGAATCAGGCTCTTATGGTAGGTGATACTTCTTTACCTACCTCATTCAATTCCTGAAATACAGTGGTAAAATGCATTGACAGCTGTTTGTAATGCAACTATTCATGGTCATGATATTGTTGTCATGAGTTATAAGCTTGACAAATAACAGCCATCTCAAGTTCGCTGAATCGTCTTTCTTGCGTTGCATTATATTTTTAAAGATTCTAATCATACATAAAGAGGAAGGAGTTGGTCAGGAGTGTTTTTTTATACGATTATTTTCCTCTGTTCGTTTTGATAAAATGCGAGCCTGTTTTGCTAAACGTTAAGAAGGCTAGCGGCTTCTTATCTCTGTGTTTGATCTCTTCCATCTCTGGTTGGTCCATTTCACCTATATTGAAGAAATGTGTGAACCCTGTAGAGACTGAAAAGGGGTGAAGGATCTTACTCTCAATTAGGCTTTCCAAGACTCCATTCTCTCCCTGAATAAGTAAAAGCCCTGTTAGCCTGGGTGACGATGCGTGCAAAGAGCAAGGATAGAAGCTCCTTTAACTCTGCCCGACACTCGACACGGGTTAGCTCTCTAAATGTGTAGAGCCTAGTGCTAGTATTGGGAACTTCTAGGCCCCTTAGCCACAGGATCACTTCATCTCTTGTGCAACTGTTTCCACCTGTCTTTCATATTAATTTTACATGTCTGTGTTTGAGAATCCAATCTTGGCATATCTTACATTTGTGCATAGTAGTTTAAGGAAGTAAGTTACTTTTAATAGTATGACTCAATTTTCTTACTCGTGGCATGTGTAACAGATCATGATTTCTTGCTTTGTGAAGACTTCTTATTTTGAAGAGTACTCCCGAGTGAAGGTACGAGTTTTATCCCTTGGTTCAGTGAAGCAGTCCTGAGTCTGATTTTGTAAATAAGTATAAAATCTTTGCTTACAGTAAATCTGGTCAACCATTACCATGCATTAATCGATTTATATGTAGTCATGTGTAAGCTCTTTTTCTTAGTGTCCAGTTTTAGATGGGTCTTCTATACTATATGCTTTATGCAGCCACAATTTCTCTTTTACCATCTGTTCGGCAGTTCCTCATGTTACTATTGCCAGAAATAACACAAAAAGTCTATAATCACCTTTAGTATCTGCAATTATTTGATTCAAGCTTTAGTGTAGTGCCTTCCAGCTGTAACTCCAAACTGTAGGTTTGTGGGGGGCATACATTCAATCTGCTTCTATCTCGAGGCCTTTTCTTTCATCTCCATCTGTTGTGTGTGTGTGGCAGTTGAGGTCCTAAGGTCTATCAGGATTATAGTAACTTCCTGCTAATGGTTCCATCAACTTGCGGTTGCAGGAAGTTATATTGCTGGATCTGCTTCGAGTAATCAGCCATCATCGTGCTCGGCTTGCTACACCTCTTCGTACTGTGCAGAAAACATATCGCGAACCTGATGCGGATGATGTACCATTTGCTGATTCCATTTTCTCTCGTGACCGTCCTAATCGCCCATTCTTCCTTATTGAGCCTTCTTATAGGATCAATAATGACGATAAAACTAAGGTGTCTGCCCGTTCAGTACAACCTGATGAAGAAAAAGATGGAAAGGCTGAAGCACCAAGTACATCACAGGCTGCTGATGATACAAATGGTTTGCTATCAAAGCCTACTGAGAAAGAAGTTGTTAAGGTCTCGTCAGCATCAAATGCTAATGTCGATTTAAAAGTAGCAACTTTGTCTTCAGATGGAAAAACACCAAAACAAGGATCGATTAGTCCAGTTAAAAGCAACTCTGAGAAAAACCAAGTTGCTTCAGCAACTGGAGAGGCACCAGGGTTGACATCAGATATCAACATTGAGAAGACAGATGTGGCATCTGCTGCTTCACAGGCACAACAAGATGCCGAAAGACCAATTTCACCACCTTCTGTGGGAAGGCCCATGTTAGAAGATAACATTGTTCTTGGTGTTGCACTAGAAGGGTCAAAATTAACACTTCCAATTGAGGAAGAAGCGACTCCACCCTCTCCCTCTCCCTCTCCAACATTTTCCGACTCAGAATCAAAGGAGTTGGCTGCCTGCCGGAATGGGAATAGCTCAACCAGCTCAAATAAAGATAAGATGGATGATCAGATGGCTGAAGCTCCAAGTGCACCAAGCGTCCAAAAAGAATGCGAAAGGTGATTTATTATCATTTGTGGGTTCAACAACGTGCAATAATGCACTAAGGCTGTTTTTTAGAGCTTGCATTATGCACAATGTAAATGTTTCTCATGAAGTTCCATTTTGTATAATTGTGGAGCAGTAATTGACTTGTATTTTAGCATTTAATAATTATCAACTAAAGCATATTGCTACTAAATTTTAGCTTAAAGCTTGGCGACCATCAAATGACTTTAGCTTGCAGTTGATTGATTTGTTGTACAGAAACTCCAGCAGAGTTTTGGAGTGAAATGTAACTACAGTTGGATGGAACTTATTCTTGTGATGGTTAAAACCATAGTAAGAAAGTTAAGAAGCTAATTCTCGTGTCTGAATTCAGAAAAGTAAAAAAGAAAAGAAAAGTGGAAAGTGAAAAAGAAGGAAAAAACGAAGAAGGAATGATGATTATTGAGAATAATTTTGCATTGACATCAAATATATAGGTGATGACGTATTTGTTTGCCAGCTAAGATCAATCAAAATCTCGAGTTTTCCCATTACACCAATCTCTTGTTCGCAAAAAATGAAAATTATATAGAAAATGAATTTTGCTAGACATGCTCATCAGTAAAATCTTGTGCAAGATTAGACCCTTCAGTTAATCTATGTTAGTAAAATTGATGACTAACAATTGAGTAATTAAAAAGAAAAATTCTCGGTCCCCCATATTATGTCACTTAGTAGTGTATGAACATATGTGTGTATCAATTAAATTATACTTAGAGACATATCCGCTGCGGCTCCTCATAGATAGACGAAGTTGATTATGTTTAGCCAGCAAGTTAGATTTCTATAATTTGTAGTTACCAGGCTGTCTTTAAAAGCATGAATTACGATTAGAGATAAAATAAATACTAATATCAGAACTGCGACTTCAAAATCCTTCTGCTTGGGTCATATGGATTATTGAACCAATGTTTTCTTGCACAACGGGCAACAGTTTATCCAGCCCTTTCTGCGAATCATGTGCAGAGAGTTAAGACACTTCCTTTTTCTAACTCTCGGCCACTACATACTACGTAAAAGAAAATTTATCCTGATGCACTGACTAGCCATAATCGCAAATGTTTGAGGCTAGCTAGAATGAGGAGACTACGCTGTTGTATCCTGGATATGGTCAACTAAAGATCCTATTTTGGTGTAGTGAACACAATAATATAAGTAACAAATTTACTTGTGAATATCACGTTTGATAAAATGAGTCTCCAAAAAGTGTCAAAATTAAGTTTTACACATGCAATCAGGAGCAGGGTAAGTATATATTGACTGTTTTTCCTTGCGTAGCCGCATTTGCCCTTGTCTATTCTTGTGACCCTGCTGTATTGCACGCTGGAATTCAGACCACTCCATAGTCTTGTTAAGGAAGAGCTTGCCTAACAATGTCATGTTTGGTCTAATAGTCTTAAGATTCTTGTATGCTCGATGCCCCAACTGAGAGTTGTTAAAATGCCATCCCATATCAGTCTCAAAGCATAATCAAGATTAAGATAGACTAGAATCTAGCAATTAATAAGAAATTCTGATATACAATTTAATTACCAGTGCATTGTGCATGTTGCCGGGAGAAGCAGAAATGAATATATCGCTCTGCATGCTCACATAATAATCCAGAGCAGCTAATAAAGAAGCTTTTCCTTCCACTTCGGATAATTCATGAGAAGAAGCAAGGCTTTTCTTGTCCTCCATAAATGGGAACAACTGGCGAAGAGCCGATATCCTTGCTTCTCCACCGTAAACCTGATGAAAATGGGAAAAGTTTCAAAGAGTGCTTAAGCTGTTATTGACAATGAAACACTATTCTTTTTAAAGAGATAAGTAATATCATTGTTAGACACCTTGTGGGAAGCAAGATATAGCCGTGTGCTGTTGTTAAATCCCAAGGCTGTCAAAAGGAGTCCTATCTCTTCAGGAGTTAATGGACAACGCCCTTGGCCTCTTAACTCCTCATCTGTGAACTGGGAGTTAAGAACTCTCCCTTGCCAAAGTACTTGGCGATATTTTGCAAGAGCAAGTTTCTCAGCTTTGCCGCCACCAAAGTCACAAGCTGAGTGAGCAGCCATATCCTGTTTAAAAGACATTTTCCAGGCAATTAACATCCAAGTGTATTAAACAAATAACTGTCGTCTTGTGCAAAAGCCTTTCTATTTGTTTCCATTAACGGATGGGTGGATCAAAATCGAAGGTATCCAAGTGAATTTTAGTGAAACATGACGGGTTTTAACTTTCTTAACTTGGAGATGTGTATAAGCATATTTAACCAAAGTGGCTGACAGATAATTATACCAAGTGGCCTTTAATTTACTGAACCCTCATATAATAGTGTCTTTAACTAGCATAGACATGGAACATTGGCATAAACACTGATACAGTGCAATACCCTCATAGTTGTCACCGGAGGAATTAAAAAGCCCAAGAACACAGACTCGACTTCAAGCATAGTCTAAACTATGATTGTAAGAATGGAATTGAGTCAGCAAGGTAGAAGATAGTCATACTTTATCAAAGCGAAGATGCAATACAACATACTTTCCAGCTCCTGCTCTGTCATTTTCCCTAACGTGGAAGTGTGTAGCACTTGATGCTTTATTCATACTAGGAGGGCTACGCAGACGACTGACGAGTGTGTCGCCTAACGTTCTGACATGGGGAACAAAAACTAGCGCGTTAAAGTTGACCTTACAACGCAGATGCTGGATGTCTGAAGGTAGGTTGTCAAAAGCCAAACGGTGAGAGAATGGAGCAATAGCTACAATCCCATAGCTGGAAGAAAGAAGCGAGTTAGTCTTGCTGTGAGTTCAACCTTTATTTTTAATCATACAAAGAGAAGTCAGAAGTAGGTTTCAATTGTTGAAGGCAGAGAGTCCCAGTTAAATCAAGCAATCTACAAAAATGCATCTGGTAATGAGAATGTGTTAGCTGGCAAAAATGAAAATGTATAAAACGGTGGACATTTCAGTAGTACCTCTGCATTACAGGCAGAACATTCTCCAGGTACCATGTAGCAGAAGCATGTACAGGCGCTGTCTTAATTCTAGTAGCTCGTATGCCTGTTGCATAGTATTCTCTGGTACTCCAGGAGTACTCACTGGGAAGCTCTTTAACTACAGAGACGTCACCACTCAAGATATTGATAAAGTGATCAACATCAAAAATATCTGCAAAGGAACTGTGAAAGCACTTCACATAAGGAGTATCAATCTGTAAAAGGGCAGTTCACATAAAGCTATAAAAGTACTTAGAAAGTGGAAGCTGTAATAGCTGACAGTAAATACCTTGGGTCCTGCCAAACTGGATTTACTTCAAGATACGGAATTACAAGTGTCGCATTTAAAATTTTAGCAACAGCTACTGCATCACAGATCTATCATGGGAGCAAAGTAAACATAATCATTCATGAGACTAAAGTGCCCCGAAAGTCATATACATCAAGAATCTGTAAACTAACCAATATCATAACAGAAAATTACATACCCCCATTCTCTGTTGGTTCAATCCTCCATCCAAAAACACCTGTATGTACACTTGAGACTTCCTATGCAATGCTACAAATGCATGCAATTGAAAAATGCTTAGAACACGAAGAATTTAAATTGCTAAGAATCCCCTTCATAAAGCAGAGACAAGATACAAAAATATGGTGTAACTCTCACATTGAGTGTCTTGATTATCAGCGCAGGCTTCCCATCCCTGATTAGGCAAGGGCGACCAGAGGTCTGCTTCTTGCGCATTAGACTGAAAGGTGCTAAATTAATACAGATTTTGAATATATGTCCCAAAACTTCCATAGCAATCTCACAGCTATAAAGAAATGAAGTGGCAACTCTACTCACTGTCTGTTGTTGCAAAGCCCTGTTTAGTAAATGCACGTGCATAGACTTTGGAGCATTCCATTCCTGCAAATTACACGAATTAACTAATAAAAGAACTGAATATTTCTACAAGTTTGAGCAGGTACAATCTTCTAAGAGAAATCGAGGTGCATGTGAATCATGAACACCTGGAAATCCATATATGAGGAATCAAAAATTTACATGGCTAAGCTGGCCATGATTGACACTAAGCACAACTAATGATAAGAGCATACAACAATCTCTGTGATCTTAGCGGTACATGAAATGATACCATTAGACCACGAAAATATGATCTTTCGAAAGCCCTAATTCAGTAAAATGTGCTGCTGCACTGAGAACTGAGAAGTAACAGAAAGCTGTAACCTTTAGGTTATACAAATAAAGAAAGGAAACTATTTCAGCAATCTGCTTGTACAATACATCCAATCAAAGTATAAGGAAAAAAAAGTTGAATAGACATCTCTGTGACTATAAATCAATGAGAATCTTAAATGTATCACATAAATTAGGGACAGAGTGAGTATGCGATAAGTTATTAGCTAATCAACAAATTTTTGTTCACCTAAGTTCTGATCCACCACATTGCATTAGTAAACAGATACATCACGCAATCAATCAATCAACTATATGAATTTTCAGTTTCATCACTATATCCAGCACATTTCATTCCAATACTAAATGATTTAATCTTTTAAGATACTGTGAAAAAGGCTGAAAAAGGAGAAGTAAAGAGATATTACAGAAAAAAGGGAAGGGTAAGAGCGGCCAAGAGGAGAGAAGAGACTGGGAAACAGATTTGGTAAAAGAAGCATCAAAAGTCCACCCATTTGCAGCGGCCATGCCATTCTCCGACTCGTCGGACTCTGCCGGACGTAATTCATCTTGCCGGTGCGCTCGCCGTCGCCGGTCGTGCTCGCCGATATGTAAATACGCTTCAGCTAACACATTTTGTGATTACGGGCTGAATCATGTCCTTAGATTGGGCTTTGAATTTTGTTTTTTTTAATTAAAGCTAAAATGGTAAAAATGACACCGGGTAGCCGCTTGTAGTAGCCCTATTTAAAATTTAGTCAGTCTTGACAAAATTCAGACTGAACCTCCCATTGGACTTTACCAAAGACTAATTTCATATCAGAAGGTCTGAAGTTTTGAAATACAAAGATAAAATTCAGACCGACATATCTGAAGTTGATTGTGAAACGGCTAAAAAAAATTATAAATGTTGACTAGTCTTTAAATGGGGGCCTAAAATGGCTATTTTTGCACTTCGCCAGCTAAAACATAGTCTTTGAACTCTTAATGACCCGAATGATTAGAATAATTTTTATAAATCTTGTTTTTCCTAAAATGATTTTCATGGCATTTGGATTTGGTATCTCCCTTGCTTCTTGCCTTTGTAAGGAGCCTTTTCAACAAATGACAACGTTTCGTTGATGCCTCTATGTCAAGCGGATAAAACTTATATGCACTCTGCACCGGACTCAGAATTTTATACAAGCGGGTTCAATCTTAAAAGTACATAACTTTAGTCGTAAAATAGTAGTTGTCAAGTGAGTTCAAATAAAATATTTATACAAAGTTTACCTAACTTTAATCCTAATTTATATATATACACAATATTATTTTTTGATGAAGCGGGTTCAGTTGAACCCGCTTGCCACCACGTGAGTCCGCCACCGGCACTCAGGGGTCGTTTAGTTGCCGGTTAGAGTTATGCAGGTATTAGTTATACATGGATTAGTTAGTAATGCAAGGATTATATTTTTTTTTGAATATTTGGTTTGTTGTATTAGAAATTGATATACATTATATAAGTTTTAAAGTAAAATACTTATTTACTGATTTTGTCTCTAATAGATTGAGAAGAGGAAGAGCCTAGCAGTGAGGCATCATAATCTCCATGCTTGTTCTCCAAAGGGTTTGATGCAAATCCTTTCAATATTTTATCATTGAAGGAAGCCTTTATGTGTAAAATGATAGGGGTAAATTTGTTATTTCAATATTTTATCCATATATTACTAATATATGTATTAGTTATTCTATCTTCTACCCCGCATAAAATAATATACAGATTGGCGCATAATTTATACATATATTATTTACGTAGAATTTTAAAATGGCAACCAAATATGGCATTAGTTATACTGAATTTTGTACAAAATAACTAATAACTATTAAACATTGCATAAGTTATATCGCCCCCAATACATGAATAACTTTTCTCCTAATAAGCTACCAAACGACCACTCATTATTTGTATCAAATGAATGTAAAATAATTGTCTTGCATATAAATGTTTTTCACTTAATGATAGTCACGTGATTTATTTTTTAACTCTAATTGATAACTCTTATAGTTAATTATTACTCCACTTGATTAGGTGTGAACGTCAATGAGGGTAAGTATTTTTCTCATTTTATTATTATTCTGTTACCATACATAATTGGGAGAAATACATGTCTATCTTGATTGTAATCATATGAATGAAACTCAAGCCCAAGACGTTGATTGCTAGACAAACTATTGCTTGAGATTTTTATTTGTTTGTCATCGTTATTATCTTAAAAGGCTTGAAAATATCCACACTAATTTTGATTTTTGATAAAGATAATCTGAGCTAGTTATGTTAACTTTCATAGTTAGAATTTAAACCACCAATTTTTGATAGAGTGGTCAGTTTAGCAGCAAATGGAATTAAAAAGAACAAAATGATACCATTAATTAATCTGCAGTCTGCCCTTTCTCAGGGGCGGATGTAGTGCATTATCGACGGGTTCAATTGAACCCATAACTTTCGACGCGGAGTAAAAATTTATATGTAAAAATTTATTAAAATTGCAAAAATAGTAAATATGAACCCATAACTTTAAATATATAATGGATTCAACGCTAAAAATTTCAAAAGTTGAACCCCTAAGATTTAAATCCTGGATCCGCCTCTACCTTTCTTAAGTAGTCCACATACACATAATACATAGTACAAGTAATGGCAAATCCAATATATTTCAAAAAGGGCAAATCTATATGCCACTCATTGCCTTAATAGTCTGCATATCCGAAAATTATGGTAATCTCAACAAAACTCCCCGTTTGAGTTTCACTAGTTGAATGGTAGCCTGATTGAAAAGCATATTTGGAAATCCAAAAATAATAAGGGAAAGAGTTAAAATACAACATGTTAATATATATATATAAGGTAAATCCTGAATAAATAAATAGATAAATAAGAGAGAAGCTTACCCTAACTTCAAAGATGTATCTGAGCAATCATCCTCAACAGGAGTACCATTGTTACAACTGCATGCAGACATTGGTGGAGAACAAGTAATCAAAATGCAGCTTATTGTCTCATGAATTTCATTTAAATTATATACACAAACAATGTAAAAAAAAAATCTTACACTACTATCTGATGACCTAGAAGTTAACTATACGTAATTACCATATTAAGTGGAACAAATAATTCGATAAATAAGGCAGATAACAAGTTAAACTTTCACCGTACTTAATTTATGTCGTTAGTGTAAAAGACAACTCAGTGTACGAAGTATTTTGTGAAACCGCACTCTAAGTGGGAGTGATGTAGACAACCTATCTCTCATTTCATGGCTCGAATCAATATCCTACGGGTCACAGGGAGACAACCTTATACTCTAAGGTTCCCCTTCTTATGCCGCCATTAGGATATATAAGCTAAATCCTTGCTCCAAGTGCAGCCTTGGCGTAACAGATAAAGTTGTTGCCATGTGACCAGGAGGTCACGGGTTCGAGCCGTGGAAAAGCCTCTTGCGGTGAAATGCAGGGTAAAGCTGCGATACAATAGACCTTTGTAGTCCGATCCTTCTCCCGGACCCTGCTATAAAGAGTATATATAAGCAAAGCTTACCCTAAATTCAAAGATGCATTTGAGCAATCATCCTCAGGAGGAGGACCACTAGTAGAGACATTGGTAGTAATAGACTGATCAGAAGACTGGCCTTCTTCCATTGCCATGCAATCCAAATCTGTGAGTAAAGGCAACTTTCCTTCATTCATCATTGCCATCTATTTAAGAAGCACATTCAAAAATTTAATTTGTAGCATTAGAAGATGATCATTCAATTTAATTAGCCCTGTTAAATAATTAAATAAATTGTATACAAAAAAAAGAAGAAGGTTATTCCCAGGTGATTTTACTTTCTGTTTCAGTTGCTTGTTTTCTTCCATTAGCTCAGCACCCTGCATATATGATTTGCATTATTCAGGAGTCACAAAAAAGGGAGAAATATATTAAATACACCAAAATGGGATTTAACCTATATACACACAAGATAACCTTTTTTCCCAATCATTGTATTTTAAATTGTTTAGCAGGTTATCTGTCCTATTTTTCCAGATATAAATCTGACTAATCATGGATAAGTTACGTGTAGTTATCTTTTAGATGACATAATAATGTAAAACTTCTTTTTTACTCTCTCATTATATTGATATTTTAGCCCCTAATTAGACAAAATATGGGTTTAAGCTAATAAAGTCTTCTACTAACCTTTCTTTGAAGTTTGGTAATTTCATCCATAATTTTTGTACCCTGAGATGAAAACGAGTTTGTGTATATTAGAAGTTATTTAATTAGTATAACATCATATGTTTACTATTAGTCTTTAACATAATAAAGTGCAATATCGAGAAAAAACCTTGATCTCAAGCACATGTGTGAGTCCAGCTTCAAGTCTTTTCTCAATTTGTTGCAATTTTTCTAAGCTCAATCCTTCAAGTTCCTCGCCTTTCATCTGCCTGATATATAAAATATAGTATATCAATATCCAGATATAAAAATGTATGCTTTGATGAGAATGAAATAGAAATAAGATATTATTTGAGGAAAAAAATACTATAGCAAATTAAATAAGATATATACATGTGATTTTGTGAAGGGTGTGCAGCTTAATGTTATATACGCCTAGCCCTTCTACTTCTATCGAGGTATTATTTACATATGAAACATGAATTACTATCTAATACTTTATTCCTTTCAAGTTGGCATATATTCTTCTGAGATATTTATAAGAGTACTAAAATGTAGATCTTCTAATTCAAGTCTTCTATTCCCCCCTCTCTCTCTATATATATATAACGGTATAATTTTTTAATCGAAGGGTAGCTCTCTAAGTGACGATTTCAAATCTAAGCAATGACAAGAAATGTCAGGTACATTTTTTAATATATCTAGGCTTTCATGAATAGGGTTATCAATACCTGTGATAGTGAAAGTTAAGGCGCGCCAATTATTAATATGCACACCGTTATAAATTATTAAAACAAAGTGCCAATAAAAGGAGTGATGGAGGAAAAGAAAGAATTGTTGAAGGCTATACCTCAGCTCACGATTCTTGTCAGCCAACTCCTTGCTTAATTTCACGTTGAGGTTATTCTCTAGCTACAATATGATAAGCAACAAAAAGAGTTAGTAAAACATGCAGGTGTTGTGGATGTTATATACTGCTTAATATTCAGGTCTAAAACAGGTTCAGAACATTTCTTTTGCCCCTAATTAAAGAAACGTAGACCTTAGTCCTAAATCCTAATTAAGCATTGTCATAACCCTAAGTTGATCATAGGAAAATTACAATATTAAGGATTGATTCAGGAGCAAAAGAAATTCAGTTTGTCCAAATGATATCGATAAAGTACCGATAGCCTCATCTAGTTACTCCTACAATATTAAATCTACCATTTCCTTCATTCCAATTTATGTGGAGTCCATTATTCAGATGGTGATTCAACTATACGAAATTATCTCTCAAAGTCATCTTTCTTTCGTTTGTAATAACAAAGTCACTATATTATGCCTATAACACTCAGAAGGTCATTCAACTAGATTTCTCAAACTTTTGATGGCCAAATCCCTATTTTACACTCTAAATTATCAAATTTTTATTTGTTTAGATTTTTAATATTATATTTTTTTCTCCTTTTACTTTATATTATGGACTTATCTTAGAATAAATAAATTTTATTTATAAATTAAAAAAATAAATAGCATTTAAGCATATATAATGTTGGAATAATAAATTATTCAGCATAGTAGAAAATTAATTAGAATAATTTGTTCGCAATAATAATTTTGATATTAACAATAAAAAACTCAAAAATGTATTTACACAATTGAGAATGAAAGAAAATAAACGTTTTAAAATATATATTCCATGTACGTAGAGAATAATTATTTAAAATATAGGTATTTTAATAATATACATTATATATTGTTGAAAATTATGCTCAATTATATTATTATTCCGAAATTATATATGCTAGAAAAATATTTTTTTATTTTTTATTTTTTATTTTTAAATAAAATATATCTGTTCTATAGGTAAAAAATCATAATATTAAAAAGGTTAAAAAAAAGAGGAAGAAGAAAAAAGTTGATAATTTAAAGGGTAAAATAGGTATCTGACAATCAAAGATTTGAGAAATCTGGTTGAGTGACCTTTTGAGTGCTATAGGCATAGTTAAATGACTTTCTTGTTACAAATGAAAGAAAGATGACTTTACAAGATAATTTCAAATAGTTGAGTGACTATTTAAGTAATAGACTCAATTTATGTGACTGTTTCATTATTAGCTATGTTGCGCGGACTCTCCAAAATGATGTCGCACCCGTGTCAGATCCTCTAAAAATACACTATTTTTGGAGGATCCGACACGCACCCGACAAAATTTTCGAAGAGTCCGAGCAACATAGATTATTAATCTGTTTTAGAAAGAATGACACACTTAATGAGAAACTTTATAGCCACACAAATATGATGACATGTGTAAGACTATATATTTTAAAAGTTTTTCGTTTTTTCTTAAACTCAAATTCGAATCAAATTATATCACATAAATTGATAGAGTATATAAGATGTTAAATAAAGATTACCTGCAAGTCAAGGGAAGGTTGGTCATCTTTCTCAAGGCTACTTGTATGCAACTTATATTTTCCAAGGATATCCTCCGCATTCATGAACAAGATGATTAATTATTGCGTCAATTCAAGTGTCTATCTATTTTTGTACATATATTATTCCATCGAGGAAAGATTAATCAATCAACTATGTCTCAAAACTATATGATTAGTTGGAGCACTCATATATGAATGCTCTATATTTCGTCTCTTTTTAGTCAGGTCTATCTCATTTCAGTATTATGTAATTTGCCTAAAAAGATAAATTTTTGGTTTTCTAATGTTGACAAGAGTGGGTTGCTCTAGTGGTAATCACCCTCGACTTTCAACCAAAAAGTTGTGAGTTCGAGTCACCCCAAGAGCAAGGTGGGGAGTTCTTGGAGGGAGAAAGCCGAGTTTCTATCGGAAACAGCCTCTCTATCTCAGGGTAGGGTAAGGCCTGCGTACACACTACCCTCCCCAGACCCCACTAATGAGATTATACTGGGTTGTTGTTGTTGTTGTTGTTGAACAATCAAATTATTGATAACTGCAACTCAAAGTTTTCACCTTATATATCGTAATACATCATATACATAAAACAATTTTTTTAAGATAATCTATATTGCGCGAACTTTCTAAAATATTGTTGCACTCGTGTTGGATCCTCCAAAAATTACACTACTTTTGAAGAATTGACACGCACTCAACGATATTTCAATGAATCGAACAACATAGTAGATAAGATCTCTAATACTCTTTCCAAATGTATCTTTTGTTGGAATGCCAAGGATCTACCTTTTTAATTTGGAGAAGATATCTCTCTCAATTTATAAAGCAATGAATTTAACTTTTTTAAAAACAACTAATCAATAAAGTTCAATCCATATTCTGAATTATAAAGTAGTGCTAAAGTTAGCTCAATTTTGTACGCTTCTCCTATAGCCGTAAGGTTACTATATTGTTGTTCTTTGGGTGAGGGGCATTGGGGGATAAAGAGAAAGATAATTTTGCTCACAAATTAATGGAGTGAAAATACTTAGAACATAATAAATAATAACCCAAAATCATTGCCATTATTTTGTGAATTGTGATTTCCTTTGTGATTTTAATCATGAAATTTAAATTCCAAATACTAGCGTCTGTACGTATAAAGATTATACCAAGTCAATATTTGCTAACTGGATAGGATTACATTAAAAGGATGAATATAAGAACCTTAAATAAATGCTTAAGCAAAAGAGGACGAATTAGAACCACTGTAACAATTTAAAATTAGCAACCAATTAGTGGAATTGCTACGTGGTTTAGTATTTTACTATGCATTAGTAGGATATCATCAGAGAGCACAATTATCATGTAGCTAATATGCATATTAACATATTAAACCACGTAATAATTCAATGGATATTATATCACTTCGCAATTATACTTCAATAGACAATAAGGTCCATTTGGTGGCTGGTTACATGGTAAGTTATTCATGTATTAGGAGTAACATAAATAATACAATGTTTGATAGCTTATAGTTACTTTGTACAAAAAGTCTGGACAACTAATGTTATGTTTGGTTGCCTTTTTCATTGGGGTACAAGTAATACATGAATAAGTTATACAACAAATCTGTGTATATTATTTATTGTAAGGTAGAATGTGGAATAATTAATACACGTATTAGTAATACATGGATTAAATAATCAAATAACCAAAAGCCCTCATATTTATTTTAATTACACATTGTATAATTAAAATAAAGTAAACATATAGCAAAAAATAATCCCTATATTAAAATTTATTATTTACTAATTCATGTATTACTAACCTTTACACAACTAATCTCTTCATAATTAAGCCATGCATAACAAGACCCTGCATAACTATTCATTACATAATTAAACACTATATAATTAATCCCTACATTACTAATACCTACATAATTCTAAACAACAACCAAACGACCCTAAGGAACGTACAGAAATACAGTAGTTTAAAATATTAATTTGACTTAATCAGAAAGTGTACTATATAACTAATTAATAGAGTTTTCCACTGTTATTTCATGGTGTGAATGACCAAAGATGTGCAAAGTGAAAAAAATAAGAAATGGAAAGAAAATTGTAGGACTAATAATCATAATTGTATTCTCGTGGAGCATTCTAAAGCATTAATATAATTAGCTCCTAATTGGAAAATAAGCAATGATCGTATAATAAGACCAGAACCCATTTGTGATTCTTTTGGACAAGTGTGATGAAAATGTGTGTTAAAACAAAAGAGTGACATTTTTATATATAGCTAAAGAGCGCTATGCTTTAACGGAGTTTTGGTCGTTAAAGCATAGCTCTCTCTCTCTC